TGGTACAAAACTAATTTCAGTAGATCTCTTATCATAAGGTGGGCGTTCTGTTAACAGATCCACTGGCAACCGAAGTTCCCGACCAAACATCAACTTTGCTGTAGTGTATTCAGTGGCTTCGTGCTCTGCTGTCCTATAGGCCATCAACAGTTGAGGGAGTAAGACATCCCAGTCATCTTGGCGACTATTACAAAACTTTGCCAATTCTTGTCCCAGTGTCCAGTTGTACTTTTCTACCATCCCATCGGACTGTGGGTGAAGTGGCGTTGTTCTGGTCTTTCGTATGCCGAACAACTTGCAGCATTCGTGGAACACAGCTGATTCGAAGTTACGTCCTTGATTTGAATGCAGCTCGTATGGCATACCAAATCTGAAAAAGAAATCACTAATAGCCGAAGCTACAGTTGTAGCTTCCTGATTTGGTATTGCATATGCCTCAGGCCACTTGGTGAAATAATCCATCGCCACACAAATGTACCTGTTTCCAGCACGAGTTTGGGGCAAAAAACCACCAATGTCAAGGGCTACTCTTTCCAAGCAGGACGCAAAACACTTGCTTGTAGAAAATCAATTATTGGCTTCAAATTTAGGTCTTTCTCCTACTCTGATTTAATATCTATACCTGGTTCCATTTCACCATCATCAACTCCTTCAGTCACTTTGACTTCAGCTTGATGACACCTGGTTAGTTCAACCTCTCTTTTAACACTTACCGGAATTAGGTCTTTGTTGTTCCCAAACGTCATTTTATCAAAATTAATTACAAACTTCCTCGGTAGTAATTAGTCCAACCCTAGTATGCATTGGTCTTCAATGTCAGCCAAGTATACTTTGTGTCTGTCCTTTATGCCCAAGAGTTCAATAGTTACCCACACTGGTCCCCAGAACCTTGCATAATGTCCTGTCACTCTACAGAGCTTCTGTATCGCTTCTGGTACTCCTTTGTGATCCAACACCTTGATACTCACAATGGTTTGCTGAGATGCAGAATCTATGACAAAGTTGCACTTTTGGCCATCCAGCTTTTCTGTCATGTAGACACTATGTGTGCTTGGCATTTTACACCTAGCTGTTGGGACTTTCATGATGGGGGTTGGTGGGCGTACCTCAGCACTGATTACACTGTGCTTGATTGAGTAGCATAATTGTTTTTTTATGTAACATTACTTAATGTTTAGAACACTGTTTCACTCAATAAAAATATTTACATGTGGAAGCTATGTTTAAAAAGGTAACAAATAATGATATATTCTTAAAATTTACAAATTCCTTTTTTTTCAATGTTTCAAATATATTGTTACGTCTCCGTTTGTTAATTGATTTTTTCCGTAACTTTGTTCCGACGAAACTTTAACGACACAAGTCTTTACTTAATAAAACTGGTTTATTCTTTCCTAATATAACTTTACGATACATTTAATTTCAATATTCGCGCTAAAACAAACACTATAACGAACGAACGTTAACTTCAACAATACGTCTCTCTCTAACCGCAGTTCAAATACTCATTATCTACACACACCCTACCGCGTCACGTTGTCACCCTCTTATATATACCAGACTACCCTATCTAGTAAATGCTAGGGCATTCGTGAAAGAACAAGAT